TTAAAGCTAGCTGTCTCCCGCAATTTAACTAATAACAGCTTTTATATGAAAAATAAATAAATAAATAGGCTTAAAAAAATAAATATTGAAAATTTAAGGTGTTTACAACAAATTACCTCTTTGCCCGTTATAATGTGAAAGGAAGCTTTCAAAATCTGAAAGCTCCAAAAGAGAATTGCACGGGTCGGGTCGGTGACCTGTACTGGATGGCACCAAACCAGCGAAACTTCGCAGAAATCTCATCACCGTTCCCGATGTCGCGTTCTTCACGTCCAGACGCGCCCCATCCACGACGTTCTAACAACTATTAAACACCAAGTTCATTTAGGCATTCTAACAGACACCTTCCGTGCACCTTTCTTATCAAGCTGAGCAAGACGATGGCGGCCGAGAAAAACAAAGCGGTGGAGACTGAGGAATATGAAGACCTGCTCCCAAAGATGGCGGAGAAACTCGGAACCGAAGAATTCGTCTCCGAGCTTTGCGGAGGGTTTCGGCTACTTGCGGATGTCAGGAGAGGGGCGATCACGGCTGAGAGCTTGAGGACGAACGCGGCATTTTTGGGGATGGAAGGGATGACGGCTGAAGAAGCAGAGGCGATGGTGAGGGAAGGGGATCTCAATGGCGATGGCGTGCTCAATGAGGCGGAGTTCTGTATTCTTATGGTTCGTCTGAGTCCTGGGATGATGGCGGATGCAGAGATGTGGCTTGAGAAAGCGATCGAGCGGGAGATCGAGCTTCGTGATCGACATGGTAGAGCTTGATCCAGTGTTTCGAGATTATCGTTTGGATTTGACGACGAAGACTATGTTCTTCTCATGGATTGAAATCTGCTTTTTCTGTAACTGTATTCTAATGAATGGTCAGTTATATATATCCCTTACATCTAATTTTTGAATTCACCCGCGACGATTGCTATCGAGCGATTCATGATCAATCAAGATGAAATCAAGGTGCGATTTAGGCGGGATTTCTTCTAAATTCCCCCGATCTACATTATTTTTTGGGAATTCAATCCAGCAACTTCTTTATAAATCTCGGATTTAAACAATCTTGTCTCCTTCATCATTGCTTCTCTGATTATTTCTCTTGAAGCTAGCTTCCTCTTCCTCTTCCTCTTCCTCGAGCGTCTGCTCAACTACAGTAATTTCGTGCTATCCCTCTCCGTTCAACTTCCGCACATATTTTACTATTTATTATTTTATTATAATATTTTCCAAAAAAAAAACTATTTATTATAATCA